ATGAATCTGCTGTATTCGTCTCCGGGAGAACGTTGCTAAGCGTTGTTGTTAAACAACGTCGGACATTTTGGGAGAGATCGGCCATCTTGAGTCTCGCGACGGATGTCATTCCGGGCGGACGTATTTGAGATTACGATTATCGTTATTACCCGTTCTGTGTTCCTTGTTTAATTGTGTGTTCTGTGTTATTATTAAAGTTTCTTCTGTTCTTTTAAAAGAGTGTTAATCATTTACGTCGCGGTACGCGAGTGCCGTTTGTGTCGCGCGTGTTCGAGTATTATCGAAGTCGACGCGCGGACGCAACAATAGCTATGAAATCGAAAACGAAACTTGGAATGGGCGCGACGAGAATCAAGAGAAAGAAGAGCAAAAGGAGGACGACGCTACGAGGAAAAGAACGCTTCCGATAGCGAAACGCGGCGGCTTCTTGCCCCTGCTGCCGTTATTGGGAGCTCTCGGTTCTTTGGCTGGAGGAGCGGCGGGAATCGCGAAAGCGGTGAACGATCGCAAAGCGGCGCGACGACAGTTGGACGAACTGCAGCGTCATGATCGCGCAATGGAGGGTCGTGGTTTATACCTCGCACTGTACAAGCGCGGAAGTGCGTCTCGGTGCTTCCGCGACGAGAAGAAGTGGAAGAGCTAAAAAAAAACTTCGCGTAAACAGACGCTAGGGATTCCCCCATCCGTCGGGGTAACGACGAACGAACAGTTAAATTGCGCGGCGATACTCTTGCGCGTGCCTCACTTTAGAGGCGTGTTTATGCGCGATGCGCTTCCATCGCGGGTGCGCTGCGATGAGAGCGGCATCGTGAATTTAGACGACGCATCCGGCCCGGGTACTCATTGGGTGGCATACGCGAAAAAAGGGGGCGACGCGATCTATTACGACGGTTTCGGCAATCTTCGTCCTTCGCGCGAACTCGCGCGTTATCTCGGGCGCGATGCAAATATTCGAAACAATCGTCGCTCCGAGCAAACGCGCGATCAGAATATCTGTGGACAATTGAGTGTTTGATTTCTCCGGGGGGTCGATTGGAGGAATCGCGCGCTATAATATCGACCGTCGCTCGTCGATCGAGCGCAGTTCGATTACTCTCGTCAATCATGTCGCTAACTCTTACTCTTTCCGGACGAAGCAGCATTCTCGCGGCGAGTTACTTTCCGCCTCTGGATTTAAACGACGATGATTACGAGTTAGGTTTAACAAATTTCGAGACTTATAACACGATACCAAATGTTAATTCCACGAATAATAAATTTTACTTTGACGACAACGACGAGGTTATCGCGATTCCAGTGGGATCTTACGAGTTAAGCGCTATAAGCGCGTATCTAAGAGCCGCGATTCATCGCAAACGACGAGCGAGAGAGGAGAGACGAGAGCGCGGAAACGAGGAACTGGAAACGAGTGATGACGATTATATATACAACGTCGAAGGAGCGTATCACAACGACAAATCCGCGCATACTATACACGAGTTCGCGCCTAATGTTCCACCCGGATATAAAGTGTCGGAGATCCCGGCGCAGATCATTTATCTCCCGATCATCGCGCGGACCATTACCGATATAAATGTGCGTGTCGTTGATCAGAACGGAAGACTAATCGATTTTAGCGGCGAAGAGATCACGGTTCGTCTGCACGTGCGGCGAAGACGATAGAAAGGCGCGCGATGCTCGTAGTGAACGGATCGAATGCGAGAAACGCGCCCATCGTCGCTATCGCGTCGCCCCTAGACGCGAAAAAGAGAAAGAAAAAGGGAGGAAGGTTAAC